ATTCCAGACGTCTGGGACGAGGGCTCTGCAATCGGAGTGTCCAGCGGCCTGGATGAGGACCCCCTACAAAACGGTTGGGTGGGTGGAGATGGCGATTTCGGTACGGAGACCCGGTCCCCAGAGCCCCTTAGAGATGTGTCCGCCCAAAATTGGGATATCCATCGAACATCAGAAGGACTTTTTTTTTTTGTGAGAATTTTTGAAATGGCGAGCGCACCGAACCGCCTCGTTCTCCGAGCCACAATGGCTTCCAGAGTAAGGTTCGTTTCAAAATGGCGGATAGTACACGGTGCTCCTGGAGCAATCGATCGGTCCCAGTAGCCAATAGTAAGGACAGGAGCTGTAATGGTAGAGGCCTCATGCAGTATAATCCCAGTCTCCAACATCTCCTCCAGCAGATCTCCAGTCTCCAACCACGCTTGGATCATGTCCATATTCTCGTGTCCCCTGCAGCAGATCTCCCTCCAACCACTATGTGGATCATGTCCCTATTCTATCTGTCTCCAGCCTCCAGCCCTCCCTTGCAGCATAACCTCAGTCTCTGTCTCCTGCAGTGTGTTTTTGGTCTCCAACCACACTTGGATCACGCCCACCAGTTTCCATCTCCTGCAGCCTTCAACCACACTTGGATCACCCCCCCAGTTTTCCATCTCCTGCAGCCTTCAACCACACTTGGGATCACGCCCCCAGTCTCTATTTCTTGCAGCCTTCAACCACACTTGGGTATTGTCTCCATTCTAAGTCCCCAGCAGCATATCCCTCTCTCCAACCACACTTGGATCATACCACCAGTCTTCTATCCTGCAGCAGATCTCCAGTCTCCAGCCCTTCCTTGCAGCATAACCTCAGTCTCTGTCTCCCGCAGTGTGTTTTTGGTCTCCAACCGCACTTGGATCACCCCCCCAGTTTCCATCTCCTGTAGCCTTCAACCACACTTGGATCACGACCTCAGTCTCTATTTCTTGCTGCTTTCAATCACACTTGGGTATTGTCTCCATTCTAAGTCTCCAGCAGCATATCTCCTCACTCCAACCACACTTGGATCATGTCCCCATCCCTGCCCTCTGCAGCATATCTCCACTCTCCAACCACACTCAACCACACTTGGATCATGTCCCCAATCCCTGCCCAAAACTGCAGCATATCTCCACTCTCCAACCACACTTGGATCATGTCCCCAATCCCTGCCCTCTGCAGCATATCTCCACTCTCCAACCCCCCCCCCCCCCCCCCATCTCCAACCACACTTGGATCACGCCCCCAGTCTCTTTCTTGCAGCTTTCAATCACACTTGGGTATTGTCTCCATATTGTCTCCATTCTAAGACCCCCAGCAGCATATCTCCTCTCTCCAACCAAATGTGGATCATGTACCTAGTCTTGTATCCTGCAGCTTATCTTCAGACTCCAACCCCCCCCCCCCCACCGGCTCCAACCACACTTGGATCATGCCCCCAGTTCCCATCTCCTGCAGCCTTCAACCACACTTGGATCACGCCCCTAGTCTCCATCTTCTTGCAGCCTTCAACCACACTTAGGTAATGTCTCCATTCTAAGACCCCATCAGCATATCTCCTCTCTCCAACCTCATGTGGATCATGGCCTTAGTCTTGTATCCTGCAGCATATTTCCAGTCTCCAACCCCCCCCCCCCCCCCCCCCAAGTATGCAACCACACTTGGATCATGTCCCCATTTTCCATCTCCTGCAGTCTTCAGCTGCACTTGTATCCATGTTCCTATTCTCTCTCCCCTGCAGCAGATCTTCATTCTCCAACCCTCCCTTGCAGCAAATCCTCAGTCTCTTCCTCCTGCAGTGTGTTTTCAGTCTCCAACCACACTTAGATCACCCCCCCCCCATCTCTATTTTCTGCAGCATATCTTCAGTCTCCAACCACATGTGGATCATGTCCTTAGTCTTGTATCCTGCAGCATAATCCCAGTGTCCAACCCCCCCCCCCTCCAGCATGTCCCTAGTCTCTGTCTCCTGGAGAGTGTCTTAAGTCTCCAACCACACTTGGATCATGTCCCCAGTTTGTCTCCTGCAGCATATCTCCAGTCTCCATCAACATGTGGATCAGGTCCCCCTTCTCTGTCTCCTGCAGTGTATTTCCAGTCTCCAACCACATTTACAGCATGTCCTCGGTCTCCAAATGTCTCCCACAGCATCATTTCAGTCTCCAACCACATGTGGATTATGTCCCTAGTCTCTTTCTCCTGCAGCTTCCAATCACACAATTTCTCTCTTCCACGGAATAGTTCCATTTTCCCGCCACACTTTTAGCATGTCCCCAGTCTGTCTCCTGCAGCATATCTCCAGTCTCCATCCACATGTGGACCATGTCCCCAGTCTGTCTCCTGCAGTGTATTTCTAGTCTTCACCCACATTTACAGCATGTCCTCAGTCTCCAAATGTCTCCTGCAGCATAATTTCAGTCTCTAGCCACATGTGGATCATGTCCCCCCGTCTATGTCTCCTGCAGTGTATTTCCAGTCTCCATCCATGTCCTCAGTCTCCTGCAGCATCATTTCAGTCTCCAACCACATTTGGATCATGTCCCCCGTCTGTGTCTTCTGCAGCATATCTCCAGTCTCCAACTATACTTGTATCATGTCCCCAGTCTGTCTCCTGCAGCATATCTCCAGTCTCCATCCACATGTGGATCATGTCCCCCCTCTCTGCCTCCTGCAGCATATTTCCAGTCTCCATCCACATGTGGATCATGTCCCCCCTGTCTGTCCTCCTGCAGCATATTCCAGTCTCCATCCACATGTGGATCATGTCCCCAGTCTGTCTCCTGCAGCATATCTCCAGTCTCCATCCACATGTGGATCATGTCCCCCGTGTCTGTCTCCTGCAGCATATCTCCATTCTCCATCCACATGTGGATCATGTCCCCCGTCTCTGCTCCTGCAGCATATCTCCAGTCTCCATCCACATGTGGATCATGTCCCCAGTCTGTCTCCTGCAGGATATCTCCAGTCTCCATCCACATGTGGATCATGTCCCCCGTGTCTGTCTCCTGCAGCATATCTCCATTCTCCATCCACATGTGGATCATGTCCCCGTCTCTCCTCCTGCAGCATATCTCCAGTCTCCATCCACATGTGGATCATGTCCCCTGTCTCTCCTGCAGCATATCTCCAGTCTCCATCCACATGTGGATCATGTCCCCAGTCTGTCTCCTGCAGCATATCTCCAGTCTCCATCCACATGTGGATCATGTCCCCCGTCTCTGCCTCCTGCAGCATATCTCCAGTCTCCATCCACATGTGGATCATGTCCCCAGTCTGTCTCCTGCAGGATATCTCCAGTCTCCATCCACATGTGGATCATGTCCCCCGTGTCTGTCTCCTGCAGCATATCTCCATTCTCCATCCACATGTGGATCATGTCCCTGTCTCTCCTGCAGCATATCTCCAGTCTCCATCCACATGTGGATCATGTCCCTGTCTCCTCCTGCAGCATATCTCCAGTCTCCATCCACATGTGGATCATGTCCCCAGTCTGCCTCCTGCAGCATATCTCCATTCTCCATCCACATGTGGATCATGTCCCTGTCTCTCCTGCAGCATATCTCCAGTCTCCATCCACATGTGGATCATGTCCCCAGTCTGTCTCCTGCAGCATATCTCCAGTCTCCAACTACACTTCTAGCATGTCCTCAGTCTCTAAATGTCTCCTGCAGCATCATTTCAGTCTCCATCCACACTTGGAATATGTCCCCAACATAGTATGTCCTCTGTCTCTTCATCTTTGGTAGGACTGAATATTTTGATTCTGTTGTGGGGGGCTGCGGTTGGGGGGGTCCCCTATATCACCTACACTGACCACCACTGGTTCCTCACCATGCCTCACATTATTAGAAGGTGTCATTGAAGCCGCTATCCCCCCCCCCCTCTGATGACATCACCGCTGTAAATGAGTTTATTCTGTCCCGGTGAGGGTGTTCCCGGATTATCATAATTATGTAAGAGTGTATTTGTTGTGTGTTGTAGTCGCCCAGACAGGATTCAGGTCCGCGGAATAAGGTCAGGTGATGACGTGCCGCAGTCCTTCCAGTCAGACTTCATTCCCGGGGACGTCTCATACGGCGAGCGCCTTATTATCTCCCGTGACTCTCGCTTGACCCAAGAGCTTATAATCTTCTCTTCCCCCGATCCCCTCTGATGCTCCTTCTCCTCCCGTTTGAAGAAACTGGTACGCTCTCGCTCCTCCTGCATGTTTCATGAGCTTCCTGCATTAACGCTGTATCATTTGTAGATAAAATATTTATCGAGCCTCGGAGTTCTCTTCCAAATCTGTGCGGGGACCATTGGAGCCTTGCCTCGCGCCGGGCCATCGTCTGGTTACCACCACAGCGAGAGACGGGAAGACCAACCGCCTCGTAGAACCAGTTCCAAAAATAAAAAACTTACTACGATGAGAGAGTCGGCCATATTGAAGGCACCTTTACTCCTCTTTTTGACAATAAGTGGGCTGTCCCGTCTAAGGTTGGCACGTTCTAAAGTTCTGACTCTTCTTCAGATGCCTTCAGCATCTTCCAGGCTTCCTAATCGGAGTGCCCCCTTATTCATTTTATAAGGGGTCCCCTGGGACCTAAGCATTTATTTCAAGGTTCCTCTAGGGTAGGCGTCTCCAAGCTTTCCAAACAAAGGGCCAGTTTACTGTCCTTCAGTCTTCTGGGGTCCTGGTATGTGGCCAGTGGGGGTAGACAGTGTCCTGGCATCAGTTAGAATAAACTTTTTCTCTGGGTTGGTGGTCAGGAGGAGGAATAGTGCCCCATCATTGGTGTCAGTGGGAGGAATAGTGCCCCATCATTGGTGTCAGTGGGAGGAATAGTGCCCCATCATTGGTGTCAGTGGGAGGAATAGTGTCCCATCATTGGTGTCAGTGGGAGGAATAGTGCCCCATCATTGGTGTCAGTGGGAGGAATAGTGCCCCATCATTGGTGTCAGTGGGAGGAATAGTGCCCCATCATTGGTGTCAGTGGGAGGAATAGTGCCCCATCATTGGTGTCAGTGGGAGGAATAGTGCCCCATCATTGGTGTCAGTGGGAGGAATAGTGCCCCATCATTGGTGTCAGTGGGAGGAATACGGTTGGCTCCACATTGGCACGTTCTAAAGTTCTGACTCTTCTTCAGATGCCTTCAGCATCTTCCAGGCTTCCTAATCGGAGTGCCCCCTAAATTCATTTTATAAGGGGTCCCCTGGGACCTAAGCATTTATTTCAAGGTTCCTCTAGGGCAGGGGTCTCCAAGCTTTCCAAACAAAGGGCCAGCTTACTGTCCTTCAGTCTTCCGGGGGGCTGGTATGTGGCCAGTGGGGCTAGAAAGTGTCCTGGCATCAGTTAGAATAAACTTTTTCTCTTTGTTGGTGGTCAGTGGGAGGAGAAATAGTGCCCCATCATTGGTATCAGTGGGAGGAATAGTGCCCCATCATTGGTGTCAGTGGGGGGAATAGTGCCCCATCATAGGTGTCAGTGGGAGGAATAGTGCCCCATCATTGGTATCAGTGGAAGGAATGGTGCCCCATCATTGGTGTCAGTGGGAGGAATAAGGTTGGCTCCACATTGGCACGTTCTAAAGTTCTGACTCTTCTTCAGATGCCTTCAGCGTCTTCCAGGCTTCCTAATCGGAGTGCCCCCTAATTCATTTTATAAGGGGTCCCCTGGGACCTAAGCACTTATTATTGTGTCTTCATCTGAAACGTTGTGGATGGTTTGGTGAGGGGTTAGACCAGCTATTCTCAACCAGGGTTCCACAAATCAAGGAGCCCCTAGCAACCTCTGGAGGAACCCTAGGCTAATTGACCTCCTACTGGAAGGTGCACAGGTATCTCTGAGGTCAACACCACTTAGCAGAGCCAGCTACAGGCCACCGGTGACCTTTTTTGGCTGCCTGTGACCTGGCATTCTAATCTCCACCGTAAAGGGGTGTCTTTCCCACTCACTACAGGGAATTCATTTTATAAGGGGTCCCCTGGGACCTAAGCATTTTGTGTTTCAAGGTTCCTCTAGGGCAGGGGTCTCCAAGCTTTCCAAACAAAGGGCCAGTTTACTGTCCTTCAGTCTTCTGGGTCCTGGTATGTGGCCAGTGGGGGTAGACTGTGTCCTGGCATCAGTTAGAATAAACTTTTTCTCTGGGTTGGTGGTCAGTAGGGGAGGAGGAATAGTGCCCCATCATTGGTGTCAGTGGGAGGAATAGTGCCCCATCATTGGTGTCAGTGGGAGGAATAGTGCCCCATCATTGGTGTCAGTGGGAGGAATAGTGCCCCATCATTGGTGTCAGTGGGAGGAATAGTGCCCCATCATTGGTGTCAGTGGGGGGAATAGTGCCCCATCATTGGTGTCAGTGGGGGGAATAGTGCCCCATCATTGGTGTCAGTGGGGGGAATAGTGCCTCATCATTGGTGTCAGTGGGATGAATAGTGCCCCATCATTGGTGTCAGTGGCAGGAATAGTGCCCCATCATTGGTGTCAGTGGGCAGGAATAGTGCCCCATCATTGGTGTCAGTGGGAGGAATAGTGCCCCATCATTGGTGTCAGTGGGAGGAATAGTGCCCCATCATTGGTGTCAGTGGGAGGAATAGTGCCCCATCATTGGTGTCAGTGGGAGGAAATAGTGCCCCATCATTGGTGTCAGTGGGAGGAATAGTGCCCCATCATTGGTATCAGTGGCAGGAATAGTGCCCCAAGGGCCAGATAAAAGCCATCAAAGGGCCGCAGTTTGCTCCCGCGGTGCCTGTTGGGCTGTCGATGTGCCTGTAGGGCAGTCTGCACACCCGCGGTGCGCCCCCATTGGTTCTTGGGGTATTATTTTGGATGAGATCTCTCACGTGAAGGCGGTACGCAGCCTATGAGTTGGCATTCGGTGACACAGATATGGACAGGGTCATGCGTTGCTGCTGCGTAGGATGTTGCGCAATTGTTGCGCTCCGCCAGTTTCGGGGCAGGAATGCGGGAAAGGTGTCCTCAGAGCAGGAAGCGAGGGGTGTGTGCCCACCTGGCCCATCTTGAACGAGAGCGGCCCTGCAGGGATTCTCTGGAGCTCGGGAAAACCAGTCTGGTTAGTGGGTGCGGCCTGAGCCGTAGGTGGAGTACAGCCAGGGATCTGCCACCCAGCATCACCGGAGTAACCCTTTCACTGCTCGGCCCTGCAGAGCGCCCCCCGCCGCCGGCTACGAAGGAGCAGAGCGCCCCCCGCCGCCGGCTACGAAGGAGCAGAGCGCCCCCCGCCGCCGGCTACGAAGGAGCAGAGCGCCCCCCGCCGCCGGCTACGAAGGAGCAGAGCGCCCCCCGCCGCCGGCTACGAAGGAGCAGAGCGCCCCCCGCCGCCGGCTACGAAGGAGCAGAGCGCCCCCCGCCGCCGGCTACGAAGGAGCAGAGCGCCCCCCGCCGCCGGCTACGAAGGAGCAGAGCGCCCCCCGCTGCCAGCTACGAAGGAGCAGAGCGCCCCCCGCTGCCAGCTACGAAGGAGCAGAGCGCCCCCCGCCGCCGGCTACGAAGGAGCAGAGCGCCCCCCGCCGCCGGCTACGAAGGAGCAGAGCGCCCCCCGCCGCCGGCTACGAAGGAGCAGAGCGCCCCCCGCCGCCGGCTACGAAGGAGCAGAGCGCCCCCCGCCGCCGGCTACGAAGGAGCAGAGCGCCCCCCGCCGCCGGCTACGAAGGAGCAGAGCGCCCCCCGCCGCCGGCTACGAAGGAGCAGAGCGCCCCCCGCTGCCAGCTACGAAGGAGCAGAGCGCCCCCTCGCCGCCGGCTACGAAGGAGCAGAGCGCCCCCCGCCGCCGGCTACGAAGGAGCAGAGCGCCCCCCGCCGCCGGCTACGAAGGAGCAGAGCGCCCCCGCCGCCGGCTACGAAGGAGCAGAGCGCCCCCCGCCGCCGGCTACGAAGGAGCAGAGCGCCCCCCGCCGCACAGCGATTCGTCGTGTGTGTGTGTGTGTGTGGGGGGTATTCCTGTGTTGGGGGTAGTAGTCCTGTGTGTGTGGGGGGGGGGGGGAGTAGTCCTGTGCTGGGGGGGTAGTAGCCTGTGTGGGGGGTAGTAGTCCTGTGTGGGGGGTAGTAGTCCTGTGTGGTGGGTAGTAGTCCTGTGTGGGGGAGGGGGGGGTAGTAGTCCTGTGTGGGGGAGGGGGGTATGGTAGTAGTCCTGTGTGGGGGAGGGGGGGTAGTAGTCCTGTGTGGGGGGTAGTAGTCCTGTGTGGGGGGGGTAGTAGTCCTGTGTGGGGGAGGGGGGTAGTAGTCCTGTGTGTGTTGGGGGGTAGTAGTCCTGTGTGTGTTGGGGGGTAGTAGTCCTGTGTGGGGGAGGGGGGTAGTAGTCCTGTGTGTGTTGGGGGGGGGTAGTAGTCCTGTGTGGGGGGGGGGGGTAGTAGTCCTGTGTGGGGGGGGGGTGGTGTTGGGGGGGGTGTGGGGGTAGGGGGGGGTGTGTGTTGGGGGGGGTAGTAGTCCTGTGTGGGGGGGGGGTAGTAGTCCTGTGTGGGGGGGGGGTGAGGTATAGTCCTGTGTGGTGTTGGGGGGGTAGTAGTCCTGTGTGGGGGAGGGGGGTCCTGTGTAGTAGTCCTGTGTGTGTTGGGGGGGTTGGGGGGTAGTAGTCCTGTGTGGGTGGTGACTGTACACACAGGGGGTCCCAGTAGTCCTGTGTGGGGGGGGGGGGGGGTAGTAGTCCCCCGGCCCGCACGTGTGTGTTGGGGGGGACCTTCTCTGCGAGTAGTCCTGGGTGGGCGCTGCACCCAGGGGGATTATCCCCACTACACAGAGCTCCCTCCCTACACAGAGCTCCTCCCTACACAGAGATGTAGTCCTGAGGTGTGACACCCATTACACAGTCCCTCCCTGAGGTGTCACTGAGGGTACACAGAGTCCCTCCCTACACTGGGGTGTCAGTCCTGTGTGGATCAGCATCTGGGCACCCATTACACAGGGGGGTGGTGACCCTACACCCTTAGAGCTACACACAGGGGGTCCCAGCAGTCACTGAGACCCATGCAGGCTGTGTCACTGAGCACCCTCTACACAGAGCTCCCTCCCTAACTCACTGGGGTGTCACTGAGCACCCATTACACAGAGCTCCCTCCCTACACTGCTCTGTGAAGGGAGCTTACCCCTTACACTGGTGTCACTGGGGGGGGGGTGTCACTGAGGGGGGGGTGAGGGGAGCACCCATTACACAGAGGAGAGTCACTGGCATCTACTACACAGAGCTCCCCCCTACACTGAGGTGTCCTTATCTGCCCCGCCCCGCTCACCACAGAGCTCTTATCTGCCGCCAACCTATCTGCCCGGTGCTTGGTGGAGACCTTCTCTGCGAGTGTTTGGTCTCCGGGGTGTCCCACCCTGATTACACAGAGCATCCCAACCAGCCAGACATTGCTGGGGCCACTGAGCACCACACACATTTCACTGCACCCATTACACAGAGCTGCACCCTAGATGGAACGATTATCCCCACTACACAGAGCATCCCAGAGCTCCCCTACTACACAGAGCTCCCTCCCCATACACAGAGATGTCACTGAGCACCCACTACCACAGAGCTCCCCCCCTACACTGGGGATGTCACTGAGCACCCATTACACAGAGCTCCCTCCCTACACTGAGGTGTCACTGAGCACCCATTACACAGAGCTCCCTCCCTACACTGAGGTGTCACTGAGCACCCACTACACAGAGCTCCCCCCTACACTGAGGTGTCACTGAGCACCCATTACACACAGAGGTGTCACTGAGCACCCATACACAGAGCTCCCCCCTACACTGAGGTGTCACTGAGCACCCATTACACAGAGCTCCCTCCCTACACTGGGGTGTCACTGAGCACCCACCCCCTACACTTACACGGAGCTCACCCCCCCCTACACTGAAGTGTCACTGAGCTCATGTCACTACCCATTACACAGAGCTCCCCCCCTACACTGAAGGTGTCACTGAGCACCCATTACACAGAGCTCCCCCCCTACACTGAAGGTGTCACTGAGCACATCTACTACACAGAGCTCCCCCCCTGAGGTGTCACTGAGCACACTGAGGAGGTGTCACTGAGCACCCATTACACAGAGCTCCCTCCCTACACTGAGGTGTCACTGAGCACCCATTACACAGAGCTCCCTCCTACACTGAGCACCACATTACACAGAGCTCCCTCCCTACACTGGGGTGTCACTGAGCACCCATTACACAGAGCTCCCTCCCTACACTGAGGTGTCACTGACACCCATTACACGGAGCTCACCCCCTACACTGAAGTGTCACTGAGCACCCATTACACAGAGCTCCCTCCCTACACTGGGGTGTCACTGAGCACCCACAGAGCTTACACAGAGCTCACCTCCCTACACTGGGGTGTCACTGACTGAGCACCCATTACACAGAGCTCCCTCCCTACACTGAGGTGTCACTGAGCATCTACTACACAGAGCTCCCTCCCTACACTGAGGTGTCACTGAGCATCCACTACACAGAGCTCCCTCCCTACACTGGGGTGTCACTGAGCACCCATTACACAGAGCTCCCTCCCTACACTGAGGTGTCACTGAGCATCTACTACACAGAGCTCCCTCCCTACACTGGGGTGTCACTGAGCACCCATTACACAGAGCTCCCTCCCTACACTGAGGTGTCACTGAGCACCCAGAGCTACACAGAGCTCCCACCCCTACACTGAGGTGTCACTGAGCACCCATTACACAGAGCTCCCTCCCTACACTGAGGTGTCACTGAGCACCCATTACACAGAGCTCACCCCCTACACTGAGGTGTCACTGAGCATCTACTACACAGAGCTCCCCCCCTACACTGAAGTGTCACTGAGCACCCATTACACAGAGCTCCCCCCCTACACTGAGTGTCACTGAGCATCTACTACACAGAGCTCCCTCCCTACACTGGGGTGTCACTGAGCACCCATTACACAGAGCTCACCCACAGAGCTCCCTACACTGAGGTGTCACTGAGCACCCATTACACAGAGCTCCCTCCCTACACTGAGGTGTCACTGAGCACCCATTACACAGAGCTCCCTCCCTACACTGAGGTGTCACTGAGCACCCATTACACAGAGCTGACTGTATATGTGCAGTGAAGTGTCACTGAGCACCCATTACACAGAGCTCCCTCCCTACACTGAGGTGTCACTGAGCATCTATTACACAGAGCTCCCTCCCTACACTGAGGTGTCACTGAGCACCCATTACACAGAGCTCCCTCCCTACACTGAGGTGTCACTGAGCACCCATTACACAGAGAGCTCACCCCCTACACTGAGGTGTCACTGAGCACCCATTACACAGAGCTCCCCACCCCCTACACTGGGAAGTGTCACTGAGCACCCATTACACAGAGCTCCCTCCCTACACTGAGGTGTCACTGAGCATCTACTACACAGAGCTCCCTCCCTACACTGGGGGGGTGTCACTGAGCACCCATTACACAGAGCTCCCTCCCTACACTGGGGTGTCACTGAGCACCCATTACACAGAGCTCCCTCCCTACACTGAGGTGTCACTGAGCACCCATTACACAGAGCTCCCTCCCTACACTGAGGTGTCACTGAGCACCCATTACACAGAGCTCACCTCCCTACACTGAGGTGTCACTGAGCACCCATTACACAGAGCTGACTGTATATTGCAGTGAAGTGTCGCTGAGCAGTGCAGCTGTAGGGTGGTGTCTCACTGTTGTGACATTGTAGTACCCCCCCCCTCCCCGGAGACCCCCCGTGTGGTGTCAGGCTGCAGTTTGTGGTTCACCTCCGCTCAGACTTCTCACTTTGACTCACAACCACCATTGCGACACGGGTTGGGCGCGGGGGGGGGGCTGGGCGCGGGGGGGGCGGCCCCGGGGGGGGGGGCCATGTCCTCTGGAGGGGGATATTTCTTCAGCATGTGACTCAGCGGTGGTATCTCACCCACAATCCTCCAGTGTGAGCGGCCTCACCCATCTGCCCTCTTATCACCACCCGTGGTCTGTGCGCCCCCACCCCCAGAGCTGACACTCTAATCACATGACCCCTGTGGTGGCTGGCCGGGTCACATGCCCGAGGGTCGCAGTTCCCCTTTTTATTTCGGAACAAGCTTGCAGTGTCTGGGGAGGGGGGGTGTCGGAGGAATCTCGCCCTCCCTGTGCCCCCCCCCCCCAGGACGTTTCGTCTCCTGCGGGTAAACACGGCTTTCTTGTGGGACTTTGCCAGGGAGGTGGGGGAGGGGGGGGGCGAGCTGCCAGCATCCTGGTTCTCCGTGCCAACAGGGCGTTGTGTGTGCTCAGTCTACCTGTCCCCCTCACCTTGTCCCGGGGGGGGGGGGGGGAGCGCCTCGTCCTCTGCTGCACCCCCTCCTGCCGCCCCCCCAGCCAGGCACCCAGGTTTTAATATCCTGCTTTGCATTTGTGCTTTTTCCACCCCCCCCCCCCCCCCCCCCCCCCCCCCCCAGCTTCTGTTCCTGCAGATGTTTCGAGGTGTGAGGCGGCATGCGGCCCCCCTACTGAAAGATGCAAAATCCAGGACCCCCCCCCCCCCAAAGAAAACGCTCCACAGAGAGCCGCTGACGTGTCACTCCAGAGCGGGGGGGGAGGGGGCGGCTAAAGGGGTGGCATGGCGAGGACTCCAGGCAGAGGTGGTAGGGAGGAGGAATGGAAGGAAAGGAGGAGGACGGTGATGGCAGAACCTGCGCCCATCATCATGGGGGGGCCCGGCCTCCCCCTCAGTCCTGCACAGGTGTAGCGGCTCCTCCCCCTCAGTCTTGCACAGGTGTACCGGCTCCTCCCCCTCAGTCTTGCACAGGTGTACCGGCTCCTCCCCCTCAGTCCTGCACAGGTGTACCGGCTCCTCCCCCTCAGTCCTGCACAGGTGTACCGGCTCCTCCCCCTCAGTCCTGCACAGGTGTACCGGCTCCTCCCCCTCAGTCCTGCACAGGTGTAGCGGCTCCTCCCCCTGCGTCTGCACAGGTGTAGCGGCTCCTCCCCCTGCAGTCCTTGCACAGGTGTAGCGGCTCCTCCCCCTGCGTCCTGCACAGGTGTAGCGGCTCCTCCCCCTGCGTCTTGCACAGGTGTAGCGGCTCCTCCCCCTGCGTCTTGCACAGGTGTAGCGGCTCCTCCCCCTGCGTCTTGCACAGGTGTAGCGGCTCCTCCCCCTGCGTCTTGCACAGGTGTAGCGGCTCCTCCCCCTCAGTCTTGCACAGGTGTACTGGCTCCTCCCCCGGACTGGAATGGCTTCCTTTGTCACCGCACACTGGGAGCTTCTCACAATGTGCATTAGAAGCTGCTGCCAGTCAGAGCTCCGCCCCATTTCCTTGGCTGGAGGACGTCCAGCATCATCTAGCGCTTTCCTCCCCAGCCTGACTGACCTTGGCCCACCCCTTTCATTCATTAGAGCCCGCCTCTTTACCTGGCTGGAGGACGTACAACATCATCTAGCCGTTTCCTCTCCATCTTGATTGTTCCTGGCCACACCCCTATCATTCATTAGAGCCCGCCTCCTTTCCTGGATGGAGGACTTCCAGCATCATCCAGCACTTTCCTTCCCAGCCTGATAGTCCCTGGCCCCGCCCCTTTCATTAACAGAACCCCCCCCCCCCCCATTTCCTGGTTTGAGGACACCCAGCATCATCTAGCCTTTTCCTCGCCAGCCTGACCGTCCCTGGCCCCACCCCTTTCATAAGGGGGGGGGGGGGGGGGGGGGGGGTTGGGGGGGGGGGGGGGGGGGGGGGGGGGGGGGGGGGCAGTTCTTTCAATCATGGCGGCTCAGCATCACATGCGGGCGTTAAACTAGAGCCTGCCTAGGACCGCCCCTTCCTCCAGACTGACATCCACCCATCAAGGCATTTGGATATTTGCATAACTCCTCCCACTGCTTGCACAAGGGCTGAGGACTCTTGAGAGGAATACTGAGGCTGGGGGCTGTGATGTTTTTAGGAAACTAAGTACAGCCCCCTTGCTGGCCCCTCCCACCAGCCATGATGTGCCTGCATTGCATAGAGAAGTTCAGAGACCCAGTGGTGGCATTACTGGGTATAAAATACCAGATGGACATGGAAAGGTTTCAGTGAAGGGGAAATGTCCGGGGGGGGGGGGGGGGGCTGTGCTGAGGGTGCGACAATCCTAGACAGGGCGGCTCTCCTATTACATGTCCATGGTGTGAATTGGGCAGATCCAAGTCTTACCGTCTGTGGTTGGCATTGCACAGTTAGAGCTGACATTGGCCACATCATCCTACAGGATGGTTCCCATATGTTCGCATTATATGTGTGTGGATTTTTTCGGGAAGGGGGGGGAGGGGGTTCAGCTCCTTTCTCTACATTAAAAGTGCTGCAGAGTTGAGGGACCTCTTCTGTTGCTCAGCAGAGTTTTGGGGGACCTCTTTATTAGTAGTTAGAGTTTTGGGTACATCCGTTATTCTGTAGAGCTTTGGGGGACCTCTTCTATTAAGCATAGTTTTGAGGGACCTTTTCTAATATCTTCAGCGTTTTGGGGGGACCTCTTCTATAGTCAACAGAGTTTTGGGTGACCTTTTTATTGGTTGAGAGGGTTTTGGGGGACCCCTTCTATTAGTTTTCAAAATGTTTGGAGACCTTTCTTCTATTAGTCGGCAGAGTTTTGGGCGGCCTCGGTCTCTTCTCTCGGCCGGGGGAGGGTTGGGCGGCTTGGTCTTCTCTCGGCCGGCGGAGGGTTGGGCGGCCTGGTCTTCTCTCGGCCGGCGGAGGGTTGGGCGGCCTGGTCTTCTCTCGGCCGGCGCGGAGGGTTGGGCGGCCTGGTCTTCTCTCTCGGCCGGCGGAGGGTTGGGGCGGCTGGTCTTCTCTCGGCCGGCGGAGGGTTGGGCGGCCTGGTCTTCTCTCGGCCGGCGGAGGGTTGGGCGGCCTGGTCTTCTCTCGGCCGGCGGAGGGTTGGGCGGCCTGGTCTTCTCTCGGCCGCGGAGGGTTGGGCGGCCTGGTCTTCTCTCGGCCGGCGGAGGGTTGGGCGGCCTGGTCTTCTCTCGGCCGGCGGAGGGTTGGGCGGGGCGGCTGGTCTTCTCTCGGCCGGCGGAGGGTTGGGCGGCCTGGTCTTCTCTCGGCCGGCGGAGGGTTTGGGCGGCCTGGTCTTCTCTCGGCCGGCGGAGGGTTGGGCGGCCTGGGTCTTCTTCTCTCGGCCGGCGGAGGGTTGGGCGGCCTGGTCTTCTCTCGGCCGGCGGAGGGTTGGGCGGCGGCCCTGGTCTTCTCTCGGCCGGCGGAGGGTTGGGCGGCCTGGTCTTCTCTCGGCCGGCGGAGGGTTGGGCGGCGGCCTGGTCTTCTCTCGGCCGGCGGAGAAGCTTTCGGGCGGCCTGGTCTTCTCTCTCGGCGGCGGAGGGTTTCGGGCGGCCTGGATTGGGCGGCGGCTGGTCTTCTCTCGGCCGGCGAAGGGCTTTCGGCGGCCTGGTCTTCTCTCGGCCGGCGGAGGGTTGGGCGGCCTGGTCTTCTCTCGGCCGGCGGAGGGTTGGGCGGCCTGGTCTTCTCTCGGCCGGCGGAAGAGGGTTGGGCGGCCTGGTCTTCCCCTCGGCCGGCCTGGAGGGTCGGCCGGCCTGGTCTTCTCTCGGCCGGCGGAGGGTTGGGCGGCCTGGTCTTCCCTCGGCCGGCCTGGTCTTCCCTCGGCGGCCTGGTCTTGGTCTTCCTCGGCCGGCGGAGGGTTGGGCGGCCTGGTCTTCTCTCGGCCGGCGGAGGGTTTGGGCGGCTGGTCTTCTCTCGGCCGGCGGAGGGTTGGGCGGCCTGGTCTTTCTCTCGGCCGGCGGAGGGTTGGGCGGCCTGGTCTTCTCTCGGCCGGCGGAGGGTTGGGCGGCCTGGTCTTCTCGGCTCGGCCGGCCTGGTCTTCCCTCGGGCCGGCCTGGTCTTCTCTCGGCCGGCGGAGGGTTGGGCGGCCTGGTCTTCTCTCGGCCGGCGGAGGGTTGGGCGGCCCTCGTCTTAGTCAGCAGAGTGTTGGGCGACCTTCTTAAAAGATGTCTGCAGATGTCCACAATCTCTCCTCCTTTTGATCTCAGTGTGTTTGTCGGGGTTGGAGGGATTGATGATGTGTCATGGTGAACTCTAGGTGGAGGAGTAGGTGACCCCTTATTGAAGAAATACCCAGATGAATGGTGGTGTCATGGCACTTTGTGGGACAATAGCCGACCATCTCCTGGGCCTCGCAAGGTGTTTGTGGGTGTCTGGTTATTCCGCAGTGTAGACAACATAACTGGTTGTGAGGTTTAGCTGCCGTCACCCACCCTCTCCCTAGGCTATGGGGTGACAGGTGACCCTCAGGGTGTCACACGAGCAGCAGGTCGCTGTATCAGGTTGCGTGCATTGCTCCGGGGGTTGTTACGAGCCCCTAGAAGGGAGCGGCAGGACACTCTGACCAAAGTCCTTTCAACTGCGACCATAAACGCCGCGTCCCGCCCAGTTCAGCTCCTTTGTGCGGTGGGTGAGGGGGAGGGGGGCTCACCTGGGCATAGAGAACCATTTTCCTCCACGCGGCGGCCGGCTGTACGCCCCACAGTGGCCACCCCTATATGTGTCTGACATCGTGCACCCCCTATCCCCTCCCCGCCTTGACTTTGGTAGCGTCCTGGATTCCAACAGCCAATCTGGTGCTTCAGAACTAATGACGTGATTTCGGAATATTGAAAATTAAAGAGAGGTCTGAGAAATATCCGGCAATCTTCAACAAATTCATTAGTGCCCCCTGGATTCCCCCCGTTCATTCTATAAAAGGGTCTTCAGTGCTGCACAGAGACCATCAGGTCTGACATCAGCGCAGGAGGATTCTGGGTAATACTCAGCCCCATAGGACGTCACGTAACATACAGAAATCCTTGAATTGAGCTCTGCTGATTGGAACGAATTGGCCAATTCACAAACACCGCTACTAAAAAATGCTACTAAATGGCCGTATGCGCTATTCCCTGAAGTGATGCGGGATTTTAGAAGTGAAAACTTGTGATATTTTATTGCCGGCACCCGCCTGCGTCCTTAACAACCAGGGAATAGCTGGTTGCTAAGGAACCAGGGCCTGCCGTGTCCCTAAAAAAAAAAAAAAAAAAAAAAAAAACCCAAAATGATTCATCTGCCCCGTCAGCGAGATTCCCGAAGGGTCTGGCATGGATTGGGGTCCGCTATGGTGGGTTTTTAAATTTTTTTTTAAATGTTTACAGTTTGCTTTCAATAGGGAATCCCACTGACAGCTGATGAGTCGCCGGTTGTTAAGGAAGCAGCAGGTGCCAGCTCCTTAACAACCAGCCATTCACTGGTTCCCTTACATTGGGGGTCAGTGGGAAGAATGTCCCTTACATTGGTGATCAGTGGGAAGAATGTCCCTTACATTGGGGGTCAGTGGGAAGAATGTCCCTTACATTGGGGGTCAGTGGGAAGAATGTCCCTTACATTGGGGGTCAGTGGGAAGAATGTCCCTTACATTGGGGGTCAGTGGGAAGAATGTCCCTTACATTGGGGGTCAGTGGGAAGAATGTCCCTTACATTGGGGGTCAGTGGGAAGAATGTCCCTTACATTGGGGATCAGTGGGAAGAATGTCCCTTACATTGGGGGGGTCAGTGGGAAGAATGTCCCTTACATTGGGGGTCAGTGGGAAGAATGTCCCTTACATTGGGGATCAGTGGAAGAATGTCCCTTACATTGGGGGTCAGGGGGAAGAATGTCCCTTACATTGGTGGTCAGTGGGAAGAATGTCCCTTACATTGGGGGTCAGTGGGAAGAATGTCCCTTACATTGGGGGTCAGTGGGAAGAATGTCCCTTACATTGGGGGTCAGTGGGAGAATGTCCCTTACATTGGGGGTCAGTGGGAAGAATGTCCCTTACATTGGGGGTCAGTGGGAAGAATGTCCCTTACATTGGGGGTCAGTGGGGAAGAATGTCCCTTACATTGGGGGTCAGTGGGAAGAATGTCCCTTACATTGGGGGTCAGTGGGGGGAAGAATGTCCCTTACATTGGGGGACAGTGGGAAGAATGTCCCTTACATTGGGGGTCAGTGGGAAGAATGTCCCTTACATTGGGGGTCAGTGGGAAGAATGTCCCTTACATTGGGGGTCAGTGGGAAGAATGTCCCTTACATTGGGGGGTCAGTGGGAAGAATGTCCCTTACATTGGGGGTCAGTGGGAAGAAGTCCCTTACATTGGGGGGTCAGGGAAGAATGTCCCTTACATTGGGGGGTCAGTGGGAAGAATGTTCCTTACATTGGGGGGTCAGTGGGAAGACATGTCCCCTTACATTGGGGGTCAGTGGGAAGAATGTCCCTTACATTGGCGGGGGAGTCAGTGGGAAGAACGTCCCTTACATTGGGGGTCGGTGGGAAGAACGTCCCTTACATTGGGGTCAGTGGGAAGAATCCCTACATTGGGGGTCGGTGGGAAGAACGTCGTCCCTTACATTGGGGGTCAGTGGGAAGAACGTCCCTTACATTGGTCAAGGACCCCCTAGTAACCTCTGGAAGGACCCTAAGGTTGCACAGACTCCTGGTTGAGAAGACATCCTTGCCGAGTCGTCCTGATTCGGCGCAGGGAACCTGCAGTCCCTGTCATCCTCTGTCCCGGTGCTCCTCTTTGCTGTTCGCCTTGAAGGGGTTAAATGGCGTTCCGCACCACCTGAGCTTGTTCTGGGGTGGTGCCAGGTGGCGGTTGGCCAGGACCAGTTTTAATACCCCTTTAGCCTGCCTGGCATTTTTACCAGCTTTGAATAGAAGGCGTGCCCTGAAACCGTTGGCCCCATTCTGTGACAGGCCAGGTGGGAAGTGAATCCATCGTCGGCACCTCCCTGGACGCGGGCCCTCCCCTCCCCGGCTTGTTGTGGAGATAATTGCGGGGCTCCGGCTCCGTGACATACTCTGGCATCCGGCTGTGTAATTGCCGGGGAAGATGATAATGGTCATTAAGATTCCTGCCATGTGAATCGTTTTTTTTCCTGGTGTCACTCTGCATCGTGGCAGGCCCACGTGTGGCTCGGGGGGCCCCTGGGCTGTAGCAGCGGGGGCCCCACAGGCTCTTGTGACCCGCGGTGTCTCTGCTCCTGAAGAGCCGCCAATTTAAAAATAGGAGATTTGTTTGAAAACGGCAACCAGAGTGACTGATTGTAGTCGGCAGTTGTGTACTGTGAAGGAGAACACGGAACGGGCAAAGCCTTGTCCTGACACCCTCACAGACTATGTGTCAGTTCAAGAAACGTCGCTTGAAGATCAGTGGTCAGATAGCTCCCTGAAACACCGCATGCGCTATTTCCTGAAGTGAGGCGGGATTTTAGTGGTGAAAACTCGTATTTTTAGTGCCGGCACACCCCGCCCGTCCTTAGCAACCAGGGAATAGCTGGTTGTTAAGGAGCCAGGATCCACCATGTCCCTAAAAACCAGCAACTCATCTGCTGTCAGCAGGATTCCCGAAATGCCTGCTATGGAGTGAAGGCTCCCAATGTTGTGGTTTCTTTTTTGTTTTTTTAATGCCGGATCATCTTTTGTTTACAGTCTACTTTCAGTGGGGAATCCCACTAACAGCAGATGAGTCACTGGTTGTTAAGGACACAGCGGGTGCCAGCTCCTTAACAACCAGATACTCATTGGTGGTTGAGGACGTGGTGGGTGAAGGCTTCTTAACCAGATACTCATTGGTGGTTGAGGACGTGGTGGGTGAAGGCTCCTTAACCAGATACTCATTGGTTGTTGAGGACGTGGTGGGTGAAGGCTCCTTAACCAGATACTCATTGGTGGTTGAGGACGTGGTGGGTGCTGGGATCCTTAACCAGATACTCATTGGTGGTTGAGGACGTGGTGGGTGAAGGCTCCTTAACCAGATACTCATTGGTGTTGAGGACGTGGTGGGTGCTGGATCCTTAACCAGATACTCATTGGTGGTTGAGGACGTGGTGGGTGAAGGCTCCTTAACCAGATACTCATTGGTGGTTGAGGACGTGGTGGGTGAAGGCTTCTTAACCAGATACTCATTGGTGGTTGAGGACGTGGTGGGTGAAGGCTCTTAACCAGATACTCATTGGTGGTTGAAGACGTGGTGGGTGAAGGCTCCTTAACCAGATACTCATTGGTGGTTGAGGACGTGGTGGGTGAAGGCTCCTTAACCAGATACTCATTGGTGGTTGAGGACGTGGTGGGTGAAGGCTCCTTAACCAGATACTCATTGGTGGTTGAGGACGTGGTGGGGTGCTGGAAGGCTCCTTAACCAGATACTCATTGGTGGTTGAGGACGTGGTGGGTGAAGGCTCCTTACCAGATACTCATTGGTGGTGAGGACGTGGTGGGTGAAGGCTTCTTAACCAGATACTCATTGGTGGTTGAGGACGTGGTGGGTGAAGGCTCCTTAACCAGATACTCATTGGTGGTTGAGGACGTGGTGGGTGAAGGCTCCTTAACCAGATACTCATTGGTGGTTGAGGACGTGGGTGGGGGTGAAGGCTCCTTAACCAGATACTCATTGGTGGTTGAGGACGTGGTGGGTGAAGGCTCCTTAACCAGATACTCATTGGTGGTTGGGGACGTGGTGGGGAAGGCTTCTTAACCAGATACTCATTGGTGGGTTGCGTGGTGGGTGATCCTTAACCAGATACTCATTGGTGGTTGGGGGACGTGGTGGGTGAAGGCTTCTTAACCAGATACTCATTGGTGGTTGGGGACGTGGTGGGTGCTGGCTCGTTAGCAACCAGCTATTCACTGGTGGTTGAGACATTCTCGCCGCCCCTGGAAGGGGGACATTTTCTCCCCACTGCGTTCTCCCCGCCCCCGGAAAAGGGACCTCCCCCGCCCCCCGGAAGGGGGGACGTTCTCTCCCCGCCCCCGGAAGGGGGCGTACTTCACACAAGCCACCAATGTAAGGGTTTTTTTTTTTGCACCAATCATTTCTATCAGGGGTTCCCCTAGATCAGAAAATGATTTCAAAGGGTTCCTCGGGGGGGGGGGGGGGGGGGGGGGTTAAAACATTTGCGAGAGGCTGTATAAGGCGGTTTCCACTGGATCAGCCTCACCCCCTGTACTGCACTCAGACGTCATTGGGGGGGGAGTAGGGCCCCCACGTGACTGGAAGTCAGGTTGACGTCACCGGCTCACAAGGCCCTTTTATGTTTTAAAGATGAAGTTTAATCTGCCCTCTATTTTGCCTTACCTGCCCCCCCCCCCCAAAGGGATGTCATCACTGGGTCTCTGTGCTTCTCTATGCAATGCAGGCAGATCGTGGCTGCTGGGAGGGGCTGGCAGAGTGCTGTACATAGCTTCCTGGAAACATCACAGCACCCTGCTTCACTGCTCTTCTCAAGAGCCCTCAGTTCTGATGCAAGCAGTGGGAGGAGTTATGCAAATATCCAAATGCCTTGATGGGTGAGGGGTCAATCTGGAGGAGTGGGCGTTCCTAGGCAGGCTCTATTTGCATAGGTAACGCCCACATGGGGGTGCTGAGCCTCCATGATTGAAAGGGGTGGGGACAGTCAGGCTGGGGAGGAAAGGGGCGGGGCCGTGGACAGTCAAGGTGGGGAGGAAAGGGGGGCGGGGCCGTGGACAGTCAAGGTGGGGAGGAAAGGGCGGGGGCCGTGGACAGTCAAGGTGGGGAGGGAAGGGGCGGGGCGGGGCCGGGGACAGTCAGGCTGGGGAGGGGGGGGCCGGGGACAGTCAGGCTGGGGAGGAAAGGGGCAGGGCCGGGGACAGTCAGGCTGGGGAGGAAAGGGGCAGACCGGGGACAGTCAAGGTGGGGAGGAAAGGGGCAGGGCCGGGGACAGTCAAGGTGGGGAGGAAAGGGGCGGGGCCGGGGACAGTCAAGGTGGGGAGGAAAGGGGCAGGGCCGGAGACAATCAGGCTGGGGAGGAAAGGGGCAGGGCCGGGGACAGTCAAGGTGGGGAGGAAAGAGGCAGGGCCGGGGACAGTCAAGGTGGGGAGGAAAGGGGCAGGGCCGGGGAGGAAAGGGGCAGGGCCGGAGACAATCAGGCTGGGGAGGAAAGGGGCAGGGCCGGGGACAGTCAGGCTGGGGAGGAAAGGGGCAGACCGGGGACAGTCAAGGTGGGGAGGAAAGGGGCGGGGGCCGGGGACAGTCAAGGTGGGGAGGAAAGGGGCAGGGCCGGAGACAATCAGGCTGGGGAGGAAAGGGGCAGGGCCGGGGACAGTCAAGGTGGGGAGGAAAGGGGCAGGGGGGCCGGGGACAGTCAAGGTGGGGAGGAAAGGGGCAGGGCCGGGAGGAAAGGGGCAGGGCCGGAGACAATCAGGCTGGGGAGGAAAGGGGGCAGGGCCGGGGACAGTCAAGGTGGGGAGGAAAAGGGGGCAGGGCCGGGGGGAAAGGGGCAGGGCTAGGGACAGTCAAGGTGGGGAGGAAAGGGGCAGGGCCAGGGACAGTCAAGGTGGGGAGGAAAGGGGCAGGGCCGGGGACAGTCAGGCCGGGGAGGAAAGGGGCAGGGCCGGGGACAGTCAGGCTGTGGAGGAAAGAGCTAGATGATGCTGGTCGTCCTCCAGCCAGGAAATGAGGCGGAGCTTTATCTGACTTGCAGCTTCCAGTGCACATTGTGAGAAGCTCACAGTGTGCAGTGAAATCAGAGGAACACCTGAATGAGGTGTGAGGAGTGTTTGTGTGTAAAGAGAAGTAAATCCGTCGTGGAGCCGCCTTCTATGGGTGAAATGTGCGCAGTGGGCGGTTCGATCGCTCCGGAGCCTCACCTCCTCGGATGCCCTTTCTTTGCACTCGAGGTGTACGAGGCGCCTGCACTGGCTGCATGGAAAATGTCGTCGCTCTTCTTTTTTTTTTTTTAGCTCCTTATCTCGAAAAACAAGTAGAAGGATGCTCCGCCCCCTCCCTCCATTCCTCTTCCCCTCCACCCCCTCTCACCCCAAACTTCAAAGGGGGCGCAGCGCTTTCTCCCCATCACACTTCTGGGAAGTTTGCTCGTGGGCGGCATTTTCACCAAACAAAAGCAGAGAGAGAAAA